TCAACGGCGGGAACCACCGCATCGACGGGAGTTCTCTTGGTTTTCATTTCTGCGGAAGGGCTCACACCGGGATGCAGGGCAACGGCGCTCTGTACTGGGATGGACAAGGCACGAACGGAGGATCGTTCAAGCCCACCCCTTCGTCAAGTGGGTGCCAATGCCCGTCGCTTCTGATACTTGCGCTCATGCGCTCTAGATTCCAAGGCGACGGCACGTTCTCCTCGGTCACCGTTCTTAACTCGCCTGCTCAAGCGGTCTCGGTCGGCACCACGGGCAAGTCGACGATCCAGCAAGTCACGATCGACAACTGTGAGTTTCCGCGTCTGCTCGTTCGCTGTGTCGCCGTGCAGCGGCTGACTGACTCTTTCCCAGCTGCTGGCAACGCCAAGGGCCACAACACCGACGGATTCGACATCAGCGCGTCGGACGTGACGATCACCAACAGCAAGGTGATGAACCAGGACGACTGCGTCGCCGTCAACTCGGGCGACAGCGTGACGATCGAGAGCACGACCTGCACGGGTGGCCACGGGATCTCGATTGGCTCGATCGCGTCGGGCAAGTCGGTGACGAACTTCCGCGCGACGGGCAACACGGTCAGCAACAGCAAGTACGGGCTGCGGATCAAGGTCGATGCAAACGCATCCGGTGCAAAGGTATCTGTGTGACATACACTGGGTGAGCGTGTGTCTTGTGGCTCATGGGATCTGTTTCTTGACTTCTTCGATCCACAGCAACACTCTGTCCGGCATCAGCGACTACGGGATCCTCATTTCGCAGAGCTACCCGACTGAGGACGGCACCACTGTCGGGACTGGCGGGCCGATCTCGAACGTTGCGTTCAACGGCGCGAAGACCCTCTCGCCGTAGACTCGAGCGCATACTCCGTGGTCGTGAACTGCGGTGCGTGCTCTGGCACGTGGGACTGGTCCGGTCTCGACGTGACCTCCGCTGGCAAAGGCCACAAGCTTTCCGGGAACCAGGCAAAGGTTTGCCCATCTCTTGCGTGCATGTCATAGCATCGCTCATCTATCTCGTAGATCTCGGGTGGTACCTACTAGTTTTGCCTCATACTCTCTTTAGAATCTGGCTCATCCCTACTACTTACAACGTACTTGGACTAGCATCCTCTGAAAATTATTTCCTTCTGAACCCTTTGAATCATTTTCGAGCGAATGCTTTTTCGCCGTCCCGCGAAGATTGGACCCCAGGAGTTTGGCTTCGTGTGTCGTTTCATGGGGTTTCAGGCTGGGTGCGAGAGTTTGAGCAGGGACCGGAATTTCGAACAAACCTCGGGTGTCGCACTTGGCTTCGCCTTATGGGCCATTACCCAGATGAGTATCCTAATCGTTTGGTCATGTTCAAGCTACGTCAACCTCACAAGGCGACCACACTCAATCTTTCCCGTTTCAATCTCTCGTTCTGAGCTTTTCTGAACACAAGATTTTACCTTTTTTGTATTTATTTCGGCGAGCGAAAGACTCTCCCTGAGCTCCTCAAAAGTATTTTCGCCGCGTAATATCCACCGGGTAGCCATGCCAGAGAACAGAGTGTTCAATTGCGCAAGTCAGGCGCGGCCATGCCACTGGTCAGTAATACACGAACAGGGGTAATGATGTCATTGTGTGCTATAAGATGGATATGCTACGCCCAGGATGTCGCGGAAGGATCGTTATAGCCTCTGTGTTCTGTTCTTAATGACATCATCTACCGGAAGCGTAAGGAGCGATCCGCGGGTTCTAATTGGAAGCCCCTATTTGCATTTGTAGCGCCGAGCCCACTGGCTCTTTACTCTGAGGTCGAGGCAGAGACCTGAACCCAGATAGTCCTCTCTCGTGAGTCCTTCTTCAATGGTTACAGTCAAGCGCTATGCACGTGTTCCGGAAATTTCAGCAAGAGCGAGTCCTGAAGAGAAGCGGATCACTGAGACAGGGGCGAAGGAGGTATAAGTTTCCAGGGAGGACTACAATCGACCGCTGCAATAACTTGCACTAAAACCACCATGAGCATCCAGCATTCTACCTCCACGTCCATGCCAGGCGCCTTCCCAAGGGCGGTTCGGTCGTCGTGCCGTCCCCGGAGGAAGAATTCGGTCACTCATTCCGTCGCTTCCAGTCGCAGATCCTCTGTGGTCTCGCATGGTGACATATCCTCCTCCTCCTCCTCTTCCATCGCCGCCTCGCTCGCCCCCACTCGGCGGAGGAGACGGCGGTCGTCGACCTCCACGTTCGAGTCGTTCACCTCTTCGGAGGAAAAGATCACTCTGTGGCTTCGGCTCTCGGCATTCGTGCCAATGATGCTCGGGATAATCATGGTGAGCTCCTCAGGGTGCGATTCCTGAGTCTTTTCTGACGGTTCATCTACAGAGCACGCTCTCTGTTCTCGTGATCACGCTCGTTCCTTCAATGGCACTGCCGCAGCCCCCGGCGCATGGCCTTGAAGCGTATGAGGACGAGATCGTTCCCGAGTCCGCTACCCCCTCCATGTTCAGCTCCTCCCTGTCCGTGGAGGTACCCGAGATGTCCAACACTGGATTCGCCTCGAGTATCTCTAGCAGGAGGAACTGCAGACCGGATATCAGTATCGGTGGGCACAAAGGTATACCACACCCTCAGTCACTCCAGCGTCTCATCAGCCACTCACCTCCGCTTTCAGGCGAAACATTCTTGTCCTGCCTCCGATACAAGCGAGCCATTTTGCGGCTTGCGCGTCCTCTGAGTATACGACACAAGTCGAAACTCAGTGTTTCAGCCAAAGCAGTCCCTCTCGTTGGCAACGAGAGGGGGCAGGTCTCACAAAAGGGGCCTGTGCTTCCGCGCAAGTCCTTGCTCCGCCTTCGTTCCATCTTCCGGATCAGGAGGGAAAGAAAGTCGTCGGACAAGGTCTCGTTTGTGGGTCGGTGATATGTCTGTGAGTGAGATTCGTCCATGATAGAGTTTGATCCAGCGAATCTAATGTCTATGTTGTAGTGCATTGGCTCGACAACTCGTCCCATTATATCATGCTGTACTGTTCATACCCTCCCTATTCATTTTTTTATTGTCTCGGATCAGTGGACAATGGACATATTCTTGTGAAATTAAAACATTCTGGACAATTTGTCGAGGAGACTCGATGAGAAAGCAGAATAAGAAGAGTCATGAGCGTTGGCTTTACCGAGATCCCTGAGAATAAAAAGCCCTTCTTGAAATGTGTTAGTAAACCTACAGCAATTTCTATCTGGTTTTATTCATCAGACGCGGGATCTGGCTGGAAATGAACCGCAGGATAGGCACTTAATGGATGAAAAGCACACGACAAGTCATAGATGGGTTTCAGGTTGAATTAATCCAGTCATTCGAGTGTTCTTGTCATCCTATCCTGTTTTCCGACCCACGAATAACACTCAGTTAGCGATCTGTGAGGTACTCAGCGTCTGGCTGGCTTACATCATGATTGATAATCAATCTATGTCATCAAGTCGCAAGATCAAGCTGACGTAACCCAGCGCATCTGTGTCAAGAATACGACATCGACTTGATGCAGAACGGTTATGTACTTCCTGCCACTGGTTCCGTCGAGCCTAAACTGCTTCGCTCAGCGAGGCAGACAGCATCGACATGGGCTTGCCATCGCCTGACTCATGGAAACCACATCCGGGTGCCCACTGGCCATCAAACCAGCCCCCCTCCCCCGCACAGACAACGCAGGGCTCGGCGGCCTTGTTCGATCTATTCTTAGTACGTGTCGGAAACACGATCCCGTGCGACATTGTGGTGGAGCGAGAACCGCCCACCTTGCGCATCCCTCTGGCCTGGAGACCAGTATTTCCGAGTCCTATCCGACATGCCGATTCTCGGCGGGAGGCATCTCGCCGTTCTCGGGCGGCTTTCCACGTTTTTGAGGTGAGAGAATCCGGAGTAGCGACGTCATGCCCTGTCATGCCTGAAAAAATGCACTTCTCCCGGTACCTGTTCCCGGGTTTCGCGATGCCAAGCAAGAGCAGACTTTCCTCGTCCTTTCGGCTGGCCCGCCCGGCTGCGTCCAGCTCGCTGTGGCTCTCTGCGCTGGCTGCCCAGACGTACTTGTCTTGAGACGTTGGATGAATCCTTTACCGATCACGCAAAAAGTCTGCAGAACTTGGTCTCTCTTCGGAGCCCCCGCCGTGTTACCTAGCCCTCCTCGGCTGATACTCCACTTTTCTCCGCGGATGCTGAGAGATAAAGTTTCACCCGTGAGCATGTGCGCATTTCCGAACCAAGAAGACTAACAAACAAGTTTGATTCAGTCGAAACTGCAGGGATGCCTCGGCGGTTGCTGTTCGGCAGACGCAGCGGACGCTGGTCTGGTGTGATCGGGGGTCCTGGACCTGGCGACCGAGCGGACCGTGACTATCCTACAGAGCGGGCCGCCTGATTCACGGCCCAACTTCTACGTGAGGTTGGAATTTGTATAAAAGGGCTCCGACTGGGGCTCACTGAGCTTCAGCGACCCACAGTCCTTCCACTGCAGCACCTCGATGTTCTCTCCAGCTACCTTCCTCCAGCTCGCCGCTCTCGTGTCCGTGGCCGCCGCTGCGCCCAGCAACGTGACGCGGACCACGACCGCGAAACGGGCGACCTGCACGGTGAACAGCGTGTCGAGCGCGTCGAACCTCAAGAGCTGCACCGACGTCATCATCGAGGGCTTCACCGTGCCCTCGGGCCATACGCTCAACATCGAGGTCTGCCGTCTCCCTACCTCGTCGTTGTTCGACGCGTGTTTTGACTGCCCTCCACCAGGCTGCTAGCGGCGCTTCCGTGACCTTGGCTGGAGATCTCGTCTTTGCGAAGACCTCGTGTATGACATCCTCTCTTGCCAGCAGTTCTCCCTCTCATTTGCACAGCTGCGGGTCCTTTGATCACATTCAACACGAACAACATCAACTTCAACGGCGGAGACCACAACATCAACGTGAGTGCACCCGAATTTTGCGGCGAACGGTCTCACCATGGGTGCAGGGAAACGGTGCGGCCTACTGGGACGGAAAAGGCACCAACGGCGGGTCGACGAAGCCCCACCCCTTTGTCAAGTTCGTGTTTTCTCATATCATCTTGCACACGGCGCGTGCTCACAGCGGGCGCAGATTCAAGGGCTCGGGAACCTTCTCGTTCGTGACCGTTCTCAACTCTCCGGCGCAGGCCATCTCCGTCGGAACTTCCGGAGCGACCGTGATCGAACGCGTGACGGTTGACAACTGTGAGTAGTCAACAGCCAAGCAATAAGCGAGTCTTCTCACTACCTCGACCCACCAGCCGCGGGCGCGTCGCTGGGACACAACACGGACGGGTTCGACGTGAGCGCGTCGGACGTGACGATCGCGCAGTGCACGGTGATCAACCAGGACGACTGCGTCGCGGTGAACAAGGGGAACAACATCCTCGTCGAGGACACGACGTGCACCGGCAGCCACGGCATCTCGATCGGCTCCATCGCGTCGGGCCACGCGGTCACGAACTTCAAGGCCGCGCGCAACACGATCACCGGCGGGCTCTACGGGCTGCGCATCAAGGTCGACGCGAACGCGAAGAACGCGCAGGTGTCGGGTGTCACATACGAAGCGTGAGTGCAAGCCGCTGCCGCTGCCGCTGCGCGCCGACCGCGTTTTTATTCGTATTCATTCATACTCACATCCGCGTGCAGGAACGTCGTCTCGGGCATCTCCGACTACGGTGTCCTGATCACGCAGAGCTACCCCGCCAACGACGGCACGCCCGGCACCGGCGGCCCGATCTCGAACGTCGCGTTCATCGGCGGCACGACGACCGTCGCGGTCGACAGCGGCGCGATGTCCGTCGTGATCGACTGCGGCGCGTGCTCCGGCAACTGGGACTTCTCCGGGCTCGACGTCACGTCCGCCGGCAAGGGCCACAAGATCGCTGCGAACAATGCCAAGGTGTGTTGTGCCTTGTTCACTGTGTCTGAAACAGGCGTCGCTGAGCTCTGTTTCTTTTTTTCTTCTTTTCCTCGCAGATCTCTGGTGGACACTACTAACCGTCCGCCGCAACAACTCTACAACGGAGCTCTGAGCGCTGTTTTATCCGACACGCTCAGCCGGAATTAATACTTCAGAATTGTACTTCTATCGAACCCAATACCACACCTGGCTCCCCTCCCGCATGCTCTGAGGAAGTTGATCACGGAGGGAATACAGAAGACCAAGCCTTCAAGTTCTCGACCATGCCCAAACGGGCTGAAACACTGATTCGTAATAAGCACTGGGATCCCCGTGCACGCGCGCTCCATCTGCGATAAGCCCACCCAGGGCAAGACCACGCCGATGTGGGTAGGCCGGCCAGTCTGCTGAGCTCTAGAGAATCACCAGACGCCCTCGGCCGCCGACGGGACCTCGGCTCCGCGGAGCGCCAAGGCAGTCGGTCGTCCGAGTCTTGTTGTTTTTGACAGGACAAAAATACATCGTCGTCGCTGATGCATCACGTCCTGGATTCCTATTCTGCTTCGGAACGCGCGGGTCGCGGCATCAAAGCAGTTGGGCCTCGAGACCAGTATTTCCGAAACCTAGCCGCAGCGCCGACATTCCTGTGTGCCAGAGCACGGCGAAATTTGGGGAGTGGGGCCCCGCATGACCTTGCTCCGGGTATGCATTGCTTAGTGTTCAGATTATTTTTAGGTTGACGCCCGAAACACGGCCCCAAGTGGCCTCGGAATCTGTGGTCGGTGTTTACGGTGGCTCTCGGGCTGTGGAAGATGAACGCGTCAACTCGGAGAGGCCTCGGACTCTGGGTGTTGGCTGCATCATGAACGCTTACCAGAAACTGGCGAGCTGATGTTACATTGTTGCATCAGACTGCTTAGAAAGCAAATCCGCAACTTGCTCAGATAGGGGCGACTCGATCAGGGTGAAAATACTTTCCAGGCTACCACCCGCTTGCCATGCCAGTAGCAGTCGACAAGTGAGGAGTCCCGCCGAGTGCTGGGGGCGTCTGAACCTTAAAATGCTACGATTCGGACCGGAACCTGTCCTCGCCATGTGAGCGAACCAAGGCGTCATGATCTGCGGGCCTTCTCTGCCACCTTGCGCGGTGTCAATTCGGCCAGGGCGCGCTGCCGTGACTGGTATCCCAAATCCAGAGTCGAGTGCAGACTTGCCCGGACGGTGCGCTGCGGACCGCTTGGCTCGAGATAGCGGAATGGGATGCCAAAGTATAAAGAGCGCTCGGCCCTCTCTGGTTCCAGCAGCCCTCGACTCGACTCAACGCGCACGCACGAAAGATGTTCCCGATCGCTACCGCCTCCCTCCTCCAGCTTGCTGCTCTCGCGACAGTGGCCCTCGCGGCGCCCAGCAACATCACGATGCCCCGCGCCGCGACGTGCATCGTCAACAGCGTCGCGAGTGCCGCTAACCTGAAGAGCTGCACGAGCGTCGAGATCCAGGGCTTCACCGTGCCCTCCGGCCAGACGGTGACAATCGCGGTGGGTGTTTGCGCCGGTGACGCACACGAGTGCAGTGCTCAACGTGGCTTGCTTCTAGGCTGCCAGTGGCGCGAGTGTGTGGATGACTGGGGATATTGTTTTTGCAAAGACGACATGTCAGCACTTATAACCGTTGTTGGCAACTTGGACACGATGCTGAAGGTGTCTGTCTCTGCAGCGCCGGGCCCGCTCATCACGTTCAACACCCCGAACATCAACTTCAACGGCGGCGACCGCAACATCAATGTAAGTTTCTGTGCAATCATGTTCCTCCACCGCTTGGATACTCATTCACACAGGGCAACGGGGCCGCGTACTGGGACGGGAAGGGCTCAAACGGCGGCGTGGCCAAGCCGCATCCATTCGTCAAGTATGTCATCTTCTTGTTTATCTGTCTTGGAGCTGGCGCGAATGCAATTTCTCAGATTCAAGGGCTCGGGAACATTCGGGTTCGTGACCGTACTCAACTCCCCCGCACAGGCCATCTCCGTCGGGACCACGGGTGTCACGCTCATACAGCGTGTCGTCGTCGACAACTGTTGAGTCATTTCTTTTGTTCGGAAATGCACGGATCGCTCAACCCCGCCCATCAGCCGCCGGCGCCGCCCTGGGCCACAACACGGACGGGTTCGACGTGAGCGCTTCGGACGTGACGATCGCGCAGTGCACAGTCCTGAACCAGGACGACTGCGTCGCGGTCAACTCCGGCAACGCGATCACGGTCGAGCAGACGACGTGCACCGGCGGGCACGGCATCTCCATCGGCTCGATCGCGACCGGCAAGTCCGTCACGAACTTCAAGGCCGTCGGGAACACCATCAGCGGCGGGCTGTACGGCCTGCGCATCAAGGTCGACGCGAACGCGCAGAACGCGCAGGTGTCCGGTGTGACCTATGAAGGGTGCGTCCTCCGCTTTTTTTGTTCTCTGCCCAGTTCATTCCTGAACTGATCGCTGCGTCCGCCCAGGAACATCATCTCGGGCATCACCGACTACGGCGTGCTCATCACGCAGAGCTACCCGGCCAACGACGGCGCCCCCGGCACCGGCGGCCCGATCTCGAACGTGCAGTTCATCGGCAGCACGACGACCGTCGCGGTCAACAGCGGCGCGATGTCCGTCGTCATCGACTGCGGCGCGTGCTCCGGCAACTGGAACTTTGGCAGCCTCATGGTCACCTCGGCGGGCAAGGGGCACAGCATTGCGGCGGACCGCGCGGCGGTAGGTGGTTTTCCTCTCGCGTTGATTCGGTTGTTGAGTCTCGACTCCCAGATCACCGGTGGGACGTACTGAGCCCGAATGAGTCAGAAGCGAGAATTGAAGCATCACATCCGTGTATTCACTGTACGCTAATGCCTAACATGTTTCCTGTAGAACACTACTTGTACTTTTAACACAATGAATAGTCAGTAAATCAAAATCCATCATGATCTAGTCTCCACTGGACACAAAGAATCCGGGAAAATATCTTGCAAGGAGGGGTATCTCCCGGACGACTGAACCAAGGGAGGGCGGATTCCATTTCATACGGGAGAGTTGTGATGACGGAAGCATCAGCCCCAGACTCAGTCTGATGCTTAAAGCCGACACTTTTCATCGCAGGAAACTAGACATGGTGTAGAAAAATGCGTCCTTGGTTCAGACTCTCTTCGTTCGTGACTGAGTTTCCATCTTCTGGTTGAGTTTCAAGTCCTCAGAGGATCTGGTAGAAAACTGAAAAAAAAATTATGCGAGATGCGCAAAAATCTTCCAGAAGCCTTCAAGTGTCGCGAGGCGCAGAGAAAGGGACATGGTCGAGAGAAGAAAGGGAGCGGCACAGCTTTCAGCTGTCACAGGCGGTCCGGCCCGGGGATCCGACTCAATTGTTAACCCCGAGCGATCACCCTCACCACACAAATCGCTCGCTCAGGAAAAAGAGTAGGAAGCGAAATATATTAATATACTGGTACAATTTCTCGTTGCTTAATAGTGACCACCGGACAGCTGGAGAACACGACATCAACACAGATCAACCTTGAAGCAAGCATGTTTGCCAACACACCTTGGCCTTATCAAGCGCAAGCGAATGCCCCTTGCCGCTGGACGTGATATCCAGACCGGAGAAGTCCCAGGTGCCGGTGCAAGCGCCGCAGTCAATCACCAGCCCGTACCCGTTACTCGTCGTCGAGACGCTGGTGGTCCCCCCGGTGAACCGCACATCAGAGATCGGCCCGCCTTTGCCGGGGGTGCCGTTGTTCGCGGGGTAGCTCTGCGTGATGAGCACGCCGTATCCGGTGATGCCCGAGATCTTGTTGCTGGAGGGAGCGGAACACGACTCGCGTCAGTCCAGGAGCTCCCGCACAACCGCAGTGTACTACTACTCACGCCTCGTAGATGACGCCCGCGACCTTGGCGCCCGTCGCGGACGCCTGCACCTTGATGCGCAGCCCGTACATGCTGTTCGTGATCGTGTTGCGCGCGGCCTTGAAGTTCGTGACCGACTTGCCCGACGCGATCGAGCCGATGGAGATCCCGTGGCCGCCGTCGCACGTCGTGTCCTCGATGAGCACGTTGTTCCCCGAGTTGAGCGCGAGGCAGTCGTCCTGGTTGCGCACCGTGCACGCGGAGATCGTCACGTCCGATGCGCTCACGTCGAACGCGTCGGTGTTGTGCCCGCCCTTGGAGTCACCCAGCGCTGGCGGAGGAATAGTGAGCGGGAGTTCGTGGCCCATGTGAAGCACCGACGACGACTCACAGTTGTCAATGGTGACGTGCTGGATAACGGCCTTGCCACCGGAGGTACCGACGGAGACGGCCTGGGCCGGAGAGTTCAAGACAGTAAGGTACGTGAACGATCCATAACCCTTGAGCCTGCAACGAGTGTGAGATATTCATAAACATCGACGAGAATCATGGATCGCATACTTGATGAACGGGTGAGGCTTGAAGGAACCACCGTTGGTGCCCTTCCCATCCCAATAGGAGGCACCGTTTCCCTGTCGGAGTCTCAGCGCTGGATGTCCCCCAAAACTTTCAGACTCACGTCAATCTTGTGGTTTCCGCCATTGAACACGATTCCCGGGGTGTTGAATGTGAAAAGGGGTCCGGCGGCTTTGGAAGGATCAGTCAACTGACGAGAAATAACCCTACAGAATCTAGCTTACTTGACGTCTTCGCGAAGATGACATCTCCGGCCATCGTCACCGTTGCGCCCTTGGCAGCCTATCGATCAATTGAGCCCACGGCGGACCGAGCAGCTGTGGAAAGCACTTGCGGCGATGGTGATCGTGTTGCCCGAGGGGACAGTAAATCCCTGGATGACGACACTCGAGCATCCGCTCAGGTTCTTGGAACTGGACACGCTGTTGACCGTGCACGTCGCGCGTTTCGCCGTCTCCGTGCGGGAGACGGTCACATTGCTCGGCAGCGCGAATGCGACACCAGCCAAGGTAGCGAGTTGCAGGAGAGTGGCGAGGGAAGGCATTGTGTTCGCTGAGAGAGAACTGGAGTCTCCAGAGAGCTCGCCGTTGCTTTTATATTGCGAGTGCCCGCACCCATGACGAGCGCGGACTCATGTGCTGCGTGGACAATAATTCCGAGATATCTAGTGCCGAATCGATGCCGTGAAAAGTACGGGTTCGTTCGTGCCAAGCAGCCGTTTGTTCTCCAATCGCTCCCCAGGGAGTAGTCAAAGATGAAGAGCCTCCAGTGCCAAGTGTAAACTTGTTTGGCAGGCGTGGTCTGCTCGTGATGATCCGAACAATCTGATAAGCTTGGCCGTAGTCCGAACGGCAGCTTCACCAGCTCAAAGGTCTGGAATCACCGTTTCCTGAAACTATAATTTCAAACATTTCGCGCGATTCCATTTTCTTTATTTGACTCGTTCTGACTGAATTATTTGCTGTGCTTGCAATAGTGATATGCACATGTTCTCGATTTAGATATTTCGGCATGGCCAAGTTCAGAAGTCGCCTTTCTCGCGGCTAAGTAACTAAATTCCAAAAAAGCTTCCTTTGATACGATGTTAACACTGATCTCAAAACCGGAGAAACTGCGTGGAGCAGAAGCCTCTTTTGCACACGGGCGGGAGCTATTCCGGTCTCTTGTGACGCCTGTGCGCATCACAAGTCGGAAATAGCTGTGAATGGGAGGGCTTAGTCAAGCGCTCGCCAAGGCAGGCGGGAGTCCGGAATCCGGGGTCCGGAGTCTGGAGCACTGCAACATCATGGCGATATCTAGCGCGCACCGACCATGTGGCTCAGGAATGGCTGGGCATTCAACTTAATCGGCAGGACGTTCGTCCCGACGCAGTGAAAGCCGCTTTCAAAGCCACTCCATACTCGAGCGTTTCTCCCATGCCGAGCGCATCTGCCGTAACTATTTTCCGAACAAGTAAGGTCGTTCAAATGTTCACGTAATGCAGGAGTAGTGACGTCGAAATGCGGTGCTCAGATGTCTATTCGAGGCGCTCATTCACCTGCACCTACCACCTCCATAGTGCAGACCCTAATGCCCTTCAACCTGACTTCCCCTGGAGCCAACCGTTCAGTGCTGAGCGCTGAACAACGACCGACATTCGCATCTGATGAACTATCGGCCACGGGGGCAGTGACCTGATCTTCTCCGCTCAACAAGGGAGGGGAGCGGAGAATCTCCATCGAAAGATACCACGCGCCCGCTGGCATAAAATGCCAAGTTCAAGCCTGGTCATTCAGACGCCCTTTGCTTGCTTTGTCCCGTGATCGCAAGGGTCGCCGCCCCTGAGAGCAAGTAAATGAGCGATCGTGCTGCTCGCACGCTATCTGCGCTCGGGTTTGAGCAGCTGGGCTCCCTCGGCTTCCTCTCATTTCTTGAAATCCCGGATCCATGATGAAACCGGTCTGCTAACCCGTCGCAACTAAAAAGAATCCCCAGAGAGCTTCAGTCCAATTCTCGTGTTCAACTTCATAGGAATTGAAACCAGCCAGCTGCATGTCATGGACTCCCGTGGGATCCAACTGCCGAACAAAATAAAAGCTGGAACAGGGTCAACGAAGCGCGGTCCGTCACAAGACACGCGAAACGAGTGACTGGTGCGAGGAGAAAGGCTTCACATGATGTCAGGGTGTTGATCGAGCGGGAAACCATCACCTACCTGCCTACATCAGTGAGGCGGCTGTTGCTAGCCAGAACGAGATGTTCGCCGATGACAGGGATCGTACAGACCAAAGTGAACTCGGGATTTGCCGCTCCGCTTACATGCAAGTAGAGTCGGCTCATTGACTCGTGACCGGTGATTCGGATTGGTTGACGACTGGTTGGACGGATTTGATATGGCTCACCTGGCCGACCATGATGGATTTGCCAAGTGCTTCCCTCAACATTGCCATCGCCCCGTGCGATGTTCTTCACATCATAATGGAACATCATATATCTGTTAGATAAGTTGAAACCGCCCAAAATACAACATCGACAGACAACCTGAACCCGATTATTTCGAGTTCACCAGTCTCCAAGCTGGCGCCAGAGGACATCTTCCTCGGCCTCAGCAGCCTTTTCCTCTCTCCACTCGCACCCTTCGCGGTATTCGCAGGAGCTAGCCAACAAGCTGCTCAAGCAGTGCGAGATCACAAACAAAAAAGCCACTCACAAACACCGTCTTGTCTGCGACTCAGAAACCCCACGCGGTTTTCGCCGGCCCTTCCACCACAGCATGGCGCTCTTGACATAAACGTTGAGCGTCGGTGAATCGAAAACGAACTCTTTGGTCCCGAGGATTGTATTACCATCCACTGTACCTTCCACGCCTGATCGAACGGGATCAGAATCCACGTGAATTTGGAATACAACAACAGCTTACCGCCACCATCGGCAGAACCAGAAGCGGCAGGTACGATGTCCTCCCGTCGGATGTTCGAAGAACCAGTCTGCACGGGGGCGGAGTCTTCTGGAATACCAGTGCCGGGGTCCCACAAACTGGCGCGCAGAGCTTGGGCGAGATCGGCATCCGCTTGATCGGCCAAACTCAATTCAATGGCGCGGGCCAGATCCTCTGCTTCTCGTGTAGGACGGGCTGGCCTCAGTGACCTTAGAATCGCTTTTTTCTGGGGTCGATAGACGACCTGCAAGACATCGTCGAGGGGAGGAAGATCCAATTCTACTATTCTCCGGTGGTAGTAAGTCGACACCTCCACCAGAGATGTAGGGGAACTCGTTCCTAGGGAGAGGCCGACCTGTTCGAGGAACCGAGTAGAGAGTTCAGTGTTCCTGTTGACTTTTGACATGCGCCAGAGACTTTCAAAGTCGAAGGGAGCGGATGTTTCCAGCAGTCGTGTCAAAAGCGAGTGATACAGCATCACCTGCAACCTGGCTGGTTCCGCGTCGGCGTCAGAAGGCAGAGATTTGGATATCCGCGTCTTCGTATCAATCACACGTAATGCGGGGGAACTGGCGATGGATATGTTTTGAAGCTCATCCTAGCTGACAGGGTAAGATGGCCCCACGCAACGATGCGAAGAGAACGAGAGTTACCACAATTCCCACAACCACGACGTTGTCTATCATACCGAAAACCGGGATTTCACGCTGAGTTTAGATCAGACTCGAAAGCGACGAGAACTCTCTGTTACCGTTCGCGGCTCCAACTTGAGTATCGACAGGCTCTGGAGCAAATTGAGAATCCTGAACGAGTGGTGAGAAACGCAACGTTAAGAACTCCATCATCAAACGGACCGAAGAGCCCAACGCTCCTCGTCCGAAGCGATGAGGACCTCTATCTCCACAGGCTTGACCTGTCTCTCCAGCTCTTTGTGTATGACCTAGCGAGATCAACCAGAGTGAGAGCGCGAGACCGATCGGATCACACCTGTCCTCGTTTCGTGGTCCGGTCATTCCGCGCAGCGACGTCTTTCCGGACCGTGATTTCCTTGCCCTTCTCCGTCTTGAATGATGCTGGCCGCTTCTCGAGCTTCGCAGAACGGCGCTGCCGCAGTCCATAATCGTACTGGACTTCGCACCTGCCTTGGCATGAGGACACATCAAGACCAGACGCACGGACATACCACGACAGTGAGATCAGGTCGGTGACAGACAGTGTGCCATTCTTTCTGAACAGTCGGAAAGGACTGGTCGCTGTCGGCTCCTCCACAGCTGGCTGACACACGGGTGATGGTTTTCCCTGGGGCGTGGCGAAGTGCGCAGAGGTTGAGGCATCAAGAGAAGCAAAGTCTGCCTCCTCGAGGCCCTCGAAATCATTGTAGGCCGCGTACTCGGAGTCGTCTGACTGTGACATGCGCGTGGTCGCGGTCAAGATCAAGAGGGGCAGCATCACATGACCTGAAGAAGCGCCACGTGTTTGATTGATTGATTGATTGACAGTGGCGGTTTCGTTTACTGGACTTACCCGACCGCAAAAACCAGTCCCAGTTTTAGTGTGCACTCACTAGACGCGATTGCATCTGCTAAAATGACAGTATCAGCAATATGGCTCATATTAGTCTCCAACGGGAACAGCAGCGCTCTCACACGCAACATCGGAAAGTTGTAATATCACTCCATTCAAACCGGCGGCCCAGAAGTCGGTGATTATCATGGAATGCTTCCACGGAGAACAGAGATGGCAAACCCACACCTTCAATGCCATGAGGTCATATGACTGATCGGGTAGACACGCCGGTATCGTTTTCTTCGTGTTTTGCGGCCCACAGAGGCTGTGATGTCATCCCAGTTGACGCGAACGCGAGCCTGCATGGGTCGCATCGCGTGGCTCGGGCCCGAGGGCTCCACTGCTATGACCTCACGATTGGCCTCTGCGCGCCCGCGTGGGAGATTCCCGCATTTCCACGGAGAAGACCTGCCTTGCGGGGCTCCACACCCCATCATCGAAGCACTCGCTTCCCGGACACACCCTCTGCGAGCCGCGACAACATATCGGACCGTCTTGCGGACCGTGCGGTCAGCTGAGCAGCCCCACAGGATAAAATGTGCCATCCTCCATGCTTCGCAAGTTCTTCGTGTCAACCGTCCCTCGACTTTGTTCGACAACTCTCCCATGGCGGATGCGCACGCAACTGTAACGCCCCGAGCGGTCCTGCTCGCCGTCTTCATTGCCTTTGGTGCGTCTCCGTGTGTTGGGCGCTGAGTTGTGTTTGCTGACCCAGGATGAAGGAGGTGCGTTTGAGTAGTTTGGGGGCCGAGAGCGCGAACTGGTGGGCTAAATATCACCTTCTCTATCTGCATCTCCTAACATCGTTACCAGATACATTACCTATTCTGCCAGGCTTCTTGTTCGGGTGAGTCTGAATGTGACCAGCTGCTCAATGGTTGTGTGCTTATATTCCCACCAGCTACGACATTGGTGTCATCTCAGTTCGTCCAAATCCCTGCCTATCTCAGAGCCAGCCTCTGAAGCCTCGCTGCAGGGATGCCTCATCATGCCAGATTTCATCAATCGCTTTGGAGAAGTGGGAGCTGACGGGACCATGTTCCTTTCGAGTTCACGGCAGT